CGGGTCCTGCACCAGGCTCCACTTGGCCTCCCGCAGCACCTTGTACAGGTAGACCTTGTCCACCCCTAGCTTCGTCAGCACGTCGGCGATGTTCTGCGAGTCATCGATCCACCTGAGGTGGGTGTTCTCGCAGCGCAGCACCTCCCTGAGCAAGGCACCCTCGATCGCCATCCTCTTGTCCTTGCTCTTCGTCGAGCCCTCCTTCGTGAGGTGGTCGTAGACGGACTTTGCGTCTGTCGCCCAGAAGCGGGGGAGCCGCTGCACCTCCCCCTGCCGGTTGAGCAAGTCCACCGAGACATTCATCGCCTCTCTAAACAGCACCGCCGCCCAGTCGACGGCCTCCACTGCGTCTGCCAGATGACTGGCCTCTGCCGCCAAAGTTGAGCGGCACACCCGCTGAGTCATGCCACTCTTCCAGTCCAGCACCGCCACTGGTGCTTGATGTCCGGCCAGGATGCTGTCGGTCGTGAGGAGCACCACGTGGCCGCCACAGCTCTTGTAGCGCTCGATGTCGTCGTGCTCCGGGCCGTTCGCGTGGCCCGCGTACACGGCCGCGCCGATCACAGCGCTGGACAGCCTCAAGTTGGCCGGGTAGACCAGCGCGACCTCAGCGCCCCTCTTGGCCTCGGACACCGCCAGGTTCGCCTTCACCAGGTCCGCCACACACGGGGCCGCTCGGGCCCTCTGCAGCTCGCCCGAGAGGAAGGCCAGGTCGAGTCGGCACTGCCGACCTAGCCAGCCGATCTCACCAGATACCCGCAGCAGCTCCTTCGCCTCGTCCTCGTTCAAGTCCTCCTGCAACTGCTTCCTTCGGGCTGCTGGGATCTTGATCGGCTTGAGGGAAGTTGCGTAGTTCACCATCTTAACCAAAAAACCTCTCGGATCACTCGAAAGCTCTCGGCCGCGGAAGGTGAAGGGCAGCTCGCTCCACTTCCACTGGAACGTGCCCAGGACCTTCGGCAAGAGGTCCGACAGCTGCATGTCCTTCATCCTCGCCACCAGCACGTCGTCAACGTGCGAGACCGCGATGCCCTTCAGCTGCCCGTCCACGCGCTTGTAGAAGAGCGCAACCAGGCACGACTGGAGCCAACCGTCAGCCAGCAAAGCGTCACGCAGCGCTAGCCAGAATAGCCTCGCTGCCTCCGCGAAGCCGTAGATGGCCTTGCGGGCCCTCAGCAGCTGGCCCGGGACAAGGCCAGGTAGGCCCCCTCGGGACTGCTCCAGGTAGACCTCGCGCTGCAGGTTCTGCCCATTGAAGTAGGCGTTCTTGACGTCGCGCAGGGAGAGGATCATGCCCATGGCCGCCGCCAGCGTCAGGAGCAGCGCCTCCGCCAGCCGCGAGGCAGTGGGAGCGTCCCGCCTGAACATACCCAGCAAGCGGTCGCGAAAGCCCACCACGACCAGGCGACTCTTCGCGAGCAGCGGCAGGGGGCTCCGGCCTCGTCGTACTTCCCGTCGTTCTTGTCGGTATCCACCCAGCGCATCGGGATGATGATGTTGGCCTTGTCCGCGCGGAGCGCCTCGCTCTCATCCGGCGGGATCGGCTCGGCCGCATCGAAGTCCTGCCAGGAGCGCCACTCTGCGTCACGACTGCCGCCTCGATGCCTCGATCCAAGAACATCCGGCGTTGCTCCTCCGGCAAGCTGCCGAGCTTGATCTCCTTCCTCCCCAGCTTCTTCGTCAGGAAAGCGTGCTCGAACTCGTTCCGCATCAGCCCGAAGATGAACTCCTCCTTGCCAATGCCCTCCTGGACGAAGAAGGCCTCGTCCTGCCGGTACGTCTCCAAGCCGGCCTCCATGAACTCATCCAGGTCGTTGTCCAGCACGAACGTCGCCGAGTCGGCGGGCGCCGAGGGGCTGGATCGTGCAGTCCCCTGTCGGATCGAAACAGGGACGTCATCCAGCAGGCGCCGCCGCTTAGCCTCCCGCTCGCGGCGCTCCTCCGTCTCCTCTTCCTCCAGGAGGCTCCCAGGGCGCCGATGCCGAGAGGTCCCCGGCTCGGGCTCCGTGTGCACCCCGTGGGAGTCGGGGTGCCAGCCGTCGTCGCCGTCGTCCCTCATGATCTCCTGCATCGCTGCGTCGAACTCCATCGCGTCGAAGTCCAGGTCGGGCGGCACGGGCACGTCCTCAGCCCCCACTGCTGGGGCTGGCGCCGCGGGCGGCTCGGGCGCGGCTGGAGCCGCGCGGGGAGCCTCCGACTCAGGCGGGGCCGGAGGCGCCTCCGGCTCAGGCGGAGCCGGGGCGGGCTGCGGCTCCTCTGGCACCTCCGCTTGCGGCCCGACGTCCATGCCGCTCTCGTCGCCCAGCTCAGCGGGCTCCTGCCCCGCCGCGGCGGGGGGCTTGGGCCGACCTCGCAGGTCCACGAAGCCACTGCCGCCGCTGACGGGCGCATCGTGCACCAACTCCTGCTCCTACGCAATCGATCTCCAGGCGTGGATCTCGTGGCCGGTCGCTGCGGCCAGGTGCTCCGGGCTCGCGAGCACAGTGAGGCCACGGAAAGCGAGCCACACTCCATGCCGTCCCTCATGGCCGATCACACGCGCCAGCCCTCGCCAGTTGTCTGGATGCTCAGGCCGATGCTTGGCTGGCTGCGCCTGGTCGTAGAAAAGCACCCACTGGCCCACAACGAACGGCCCTCTCGTCGGTCGTATCTGTCGAAGCTCAGCTCGTCGAAGTCGATCCTCCGTGTCGGTCTGGATGAAGGCCATCCTGCACTGAGTCCTGATCTCAACCTTGCGAGCGAAATGCGAGCCTGGCGTAGCAGCTGCCACCTGCTCGCCCACACGCTCCACCTCGGCGTCGTCCGCGAGGCTCGCCGGGAGGCGAACGTCCCGGCCGAGGACCCAGAGGTAGGGGCTGAAGCCAGCCCGCCGGGCCAACGTGTTCTTGGCCCTGTTGCACTCCGTCACTGCTGTTCTCATCTCCTCAAGGCCCGCCACCTGCTTGTCGTGCACCACCCTCGTGAGCATCGAGTTCCAGATGCCGTCGTGACGCTCCATCTTGCCGATGTGCCACGGCGAAGCCAGAGCGGCCGAGTCCAGGCGCACGCCCTCCTGCTCCAGGTAGTCCGCGAACTCGCCCAGGAAGGACCGCGCGCGGTCCACCATGATCGCCTCCTCCGGCTGGCCGGCCCAGGAGACCCAGCAGAGCTCGTAGAATTTCCTGACCTCCGAGGCCATGGGGTTCTTGTGAGTGTCCTCCAGCAGGCAGACCACGTGGAAGTTCGTCCCCATACACATGATGCCAAGGAACTCCCAGTTGTTGCCGGCACTGTCGACGTTCTCGAAGCAGTCCATCGCGAGCAGCACGTTAAACTCGTCGACCCTCGGGAGCTGACTCGGACGCGGGATGCTGGGTCGCTGCACTCGCCGGCAGCTCTCGCAGACAAACAGCCTCGCTGCCTTCAGCGCCAGCGCCGTCGCCTTGCCCAGGCGCAGCCCCCTGAGCAGCGCTGGTCGCGAGGGGTGCCCGAGGTTCACGTGCACCCTCTCGATCGCCCTCTTGACGGCCCTCGGCAACAGCTCCCAACGTCGCATCCTCTCCCGCGAGGCGTCCCGCTGCTGAGCAGCAGCCGGCCCCTCGGGCAGATCGCCCCGCTCGTAGCCCGCGAAGTAGAAGACCACCACGTCGTTCTCGAGTAGATGTCGCGGCAACCAGTGCCGCCGTGCCTGCAGGGACTGCTGCGACCAGTCCTCGAAGTCTAGCCTGAAGAGCTGGTCGCCCTTGAGCGCAGTGACCATCCTGAGCGGGGCGTCCGCGGCGTGCAGCTGCGGCTGCGCCGTCTGGAGCCGCTGACCCCCGCGTCTAGCCTTCACCATCTTCAGCGGCTCGCTGATGACTCCTCCCAGCTCCTCCAGGAAGAGGTCCGAGCCCCAGATGATCGTCTCGATATCATCGCCCATCTTCTCCAGCAAACTCCTGTGCCAACTCCGGAACGTGTCCAGCTCAGCACACAGCTCCACCGTCAACAGCTCGAACTCGCCGTGCTGCGTACGCCGTCCCCGGCGGAAGCCCAGCGGGCGTCCGCCAGGAGGCACGCCGCGCTCGCGGCGAGCAGGCGCTCGGCCGCGCCTGGGCCCCACGGGCACCTCGGCCGTTGCCTCTGGGGCCTCCGCCGCCGCCTCGGCAGGCGGCGCGTCCTCTCCGAGAGGCGGGCCCTCCTGGTGTACCTCCTCTGGCACGGGCTCTCCCCGCGGCGGGCTCCGCGATCGCGGACGCTCGTGAGGGAAAGCATCCTCCACCGGGAAGGCCGCATCCATGACCAGCGAGCTGCGGTAGTCGATCTGCATCTGCTGGAGCACGCCGCGACAGAAGGCCTTCGCGAGGCCCACGGGGTAGGCTGCCGCCTGCTGCGCCCGATAGCCACCCGAGTTCCTCCCGAGCAGCTGCTGGTGGGCGCCGGGCGGACAGACACAGCGCTTGCTCAGGTGGTTCGCCACCGCTGCGCTGTTCGTGAGCCACCCCGTCGGCTTCTTGATCGGCTTGTCCGTGTCCTTGTCGCAGGCTCCGTAGGCACATTGATCTCCGCGTACAAACACAGCACCTTCCAAATCCCACAAACGCATCAGGATGCCATCATATTCCCAAGAAAGTGCTGTCAAAGGCTGCTCTATCAAGAAATACCGTCCTCTCGCATGCACACATCGAGATACCCGCCGAACAAGCAAAAGATAACGGCGAGCACTCCTGCGGACTTTATCCCAGTCGATGAGCTTGTTCGTGTTGGTCATCAGGGACCACGGATGACAGGGAAAAGCCAACACTGTGATGTAAGGCCAGTGCAGGTCGAGGATCCGGTAGAGTAAGGCCCGTCCAGGGCCCTTGAGCAAGTCGTAGTCGGGGGAGTGGTCCACGTCCAGCGGTTGAGACTGCATCCAACCGTACTCCCTTGCACCGTAGCGCGTCAGGATGTGCTCTCCGCCGAACGGCTCGAACACCACCGTAGTCTGGAAGTCGGCGGTCACGAAACGCTCCGCCTCGAACCTCGGTCGAAGTAGCTCTCCTCGTAGGCGTCGATCCTCTCTGCGAAGCTCACGCCAGGTGGACTCGAGCTTCTTCCGAGTCGTCTTGGAGAGGATCCCTGTCGCGTCGGTGGCCAGCACACCTCGATCCTTCGACAGGAAGGCGTGGCCAACCTCCTCCTCGACTCGGATCTCCTCGCCGTCGGACTCCTCGAAGGCCGACTCCTTCTGCGCCTGCGCGAAGAAGAACTCCGAGTCCCGATTCTTCGAGATCGCCGTCGCTGGCCCTGAACTCGAAGCTACCGCCGATCGGTGATCATCATCGCCCCAGCCATCAAGTCGCACTGCCAAGTGACCGCCCACCTTGAGCAGCTGCACGTCCACGGCGAGCGTCTGCAGCTCCATCCGCATCTCCTTCAGGTGGAGCACGGCACCCAGCGCCTCCTGCGACGCCAGGCTGACCAGGAGCGGGGTGTCGCAGTCCTCCATCTCCGTGCTGAAGATCACCCCGCGGCGGCCGCCGAGGGCGACCGGGATCTCGACCACGCGCCCCTCCTGCCTCTTGCCAAAGGCCGAGGAGAAGCTCCTCAGGCGGTCCGTCATCTTGATCTCCAGGCCGCGGGGGTGCAAGCACCTCTTCTCGAACAACTCCCGCCAGCGCTTGCCGTGCATACATCTTGTGCAACCGGTGTCGATGAGCGCCACTGGTACATCAGACGAGTCACTGTCTTCACTCACCATAAGCACCATCTCCAAAGATCCTTCCCCGGGTACTGGGCGCGCATGGCGCCCGAGAGGGGCCCCTCTGGGCCCCGGTGTGGAGTGTGCTCAGGCCGAAGACGGCGGTGGCCGCGCCTCGCGTAGCCGCTGCTCGCCCTCGTTGTAGTTCAGCGTGCCCTTGCAGTCCGGGAACTGACTGCATCCGAAGAACCAGCCGCCCGTCCGATGATTCTGTCGGGCCACCAGAGCCTTGGAGCACTTCGGGCACGGCAGCACCTCGTCGTCCTTCATCGTCGGGGGGATCGTGCTGAGGCTGTCGCTGACCACACTCGCGCTGTCGCCGACGTCGCTGCCCACGAGCTTGAATGAGCCGAGGTCGGAGCCACGGTCCGAGCTGACAAGGAAGGCCGAGTCGTACTCGACGTCGTCCAGCACGAAGAGGGTCGCATCCCTCCGCTTCTTGGCACTGGTGCTGCTCGTTGGGCGTGGGCTGCTGCCCGAGGCCGAAGGACTGCTCCAGGCCTGGCGCGAAAGCGCCGCTGCTCGGCCGCGTGGGTCAGCTCGACTCTTCGGCTTCGCTGACGGCTTCGGCCTCTTCGGACCCATGGGGCACTCCGGGTCCCCAGCCCAGTGGCCGAGTTTGCCGCACGCCCCGCAGTGCGTGCGCTGCTTGTCCTTCGCGATCTCCGCCTTGCGCTCCTCGAAGGTCAGCGTGCCCTCCGCCTTGAAGAAGCCGCGCTTCCTCTGGAGGTCCCGGACCTTGGCCCCGGCGGTGTCGTAGGCGGCGTACGCGTTGTTGATTGCCTCGTCCTGACTCGCACCAGCGTCGCTGGCGAAGTCCTCCTCTGCGTCGCCATCCTCGTAGGCCTGGTAGACCTCGTCGTCGTAATCCTCGTCCTGCTCATCCTCCTCGTTGTCCACGTCGTCCGCCTCGGTGTAGTACACCCTCGGCTGCTTCTTGGACTTGTCCTTGCCGCCCTTGCCTCCGCCCTTCGGGCGCCCGTGAGGGTGAGGCGGTGGCGGCCGGGAGGTCTTCTCCTGCAGGTGGAGGTCGTGGTAGTTCGTCTTCAGTGTGTTCTCAAAAGCCTTCGTCTCGTACTTATTGTCCGCCACCATCGTGACCAGCCGCTTCTGGTCGTCCGTCAGCATGGCCCCCTCGAGGAGGAAGTACGCGTAGAGATCGTCGCTGAGCTTCGTCCCCGTGTCCAGCTCGGTCAGCTCCTTGTACTTGTTGTGGAAGGTCCTCAGGTACTCTACGATCTCCTGGCCACGTCTGCGGCGAGACCGCTTGAAGAAATCGTCGAACTTCTGCTGCTTGCGCACCACTGCCACTTTGTCCAGGCCATCGAGAGCTTCGATGATCCTCTGGTGCGAGCCGTCCTCCGTGAGCGCCGCCATGTCGTCCAGGAGGGGCTCCACCGCCTTCCACGCAGGGCCAGTGAGGCCTCGCGTCAGGCGCAAGCCCAGGTTCGCCCGCTTCTCCCTGCCGGCCTCCGTCGTGCTCGACTGCGTGCTGTACTCTATCATCTGTCTCATTCGATATTCTCGTAGAAGAGCTATGTTCTCACCGTCCCAGTGCGGGATGCCCTCTTTGTCGACAAAGAGCTCCTCTGCGGACTCGTCTGTCATGCGGGCCGTTCTCTCCGCCGTAGATCGAAAACCTGCTCCGCGACCAGTTTGAAACCGATCTCGCTCCTCTGTGATGCCAGGCTGAGCGTAGCACCTTTTTCTCCTGCCGAGAAGCGCCCAGGATGGCGCCGATCCCCGGGCGCAGGCCGCCCGGCACAGCTGAAACCTGGGGCCCCAGGCTTGGGCCCACAGTGGTTGCGGGAGCACGGGAGAGGGGCAGAGGGAGAGCAAAGAGGAAAGGGATAGGCGGGTTGAGGCGTGCCTGGAAATCTTCACACGGGGCCTGGGACCGTAAAAAAAACGATTCGGGATGTAAAGCGGGTATCTGGGAAGGGGTCCAGACTTTGGGGGGTCGACATTACGGAAAACCAAAAACACGACGTCGGGGTTCTGGCCTCCAGTCTTGCGGCCGAGCGGGGCCGAGCGAGCTCGGGCGCCGATAGGGCTAAGACCGTGGCCCTCGGGCGCAATCTCTGGTCTCCAGTCTCCTCCCGCCCCCCCCCCCCGCATCTCTCTCATATTCCTCCCCTCCTCCTCCTCCTCCTCTTCCTCCTCCTCCTCCTCCTCCTCCTCCTCCTCCTCCTCCTCCTCCTCCTCCTCTCCATTATCCATCCTCATCTTCCTACTCCCCCCACTCCGAAGTCATCCTCTCTTCTTCTCCTTCACCTCTTGCTCCTGCTCCTCTTCCTTCCTCTTCGTGCTCCTCCTCCTCCTCCTCCTCCTCCTCCTCCTCCTCCTCCTCCTCCTCCTCCTCTCCTCCCCCCCTCTTATGCCTCCTCTAGTTCCTTCTCTAACTCCTCCTCGAACTCCTCCTCTAACCCCTCCTCCCACTCCACCTCTACTCCTCATCATCATCCTCTTCCTTCTCCTCCTCCTCCTCATCATCATCATCTCATCATCATCCTCCTCATCCTCATCCTCCTTCCTCTCCTCCTCCCTCCTTCTCCTCCTCCTCCTCCTCCTCCTCCCTCCTCCTCCTCCTCCTATTGCTCCTCCTCGTCCTCCTCTTCCTCCTTCTCCTCCTCCTCCTCCTCCGCCTCCTCCTCATCCTCCTCATCATCATAATCAGCATCATCATCAGAGTCATCATCATCATCATCATCATCATCATCATCATCATCAGCAGCAGCAGCAGCATCATCGTCGTTATCATCATCATGATCATCATCATCATCATCATCAGCAGCATCATCATCATCAGCATCCCCCCTCGCGCCCGTCTGGGCTTCTGCAGCTTCTCGGCCCGAACCTTCGCGTGGCTTCCCGGGGCGGGCGCCTTATGCAGGCGTTCACACAGGCTGCCATCGGGGGGGCTTGGGCGCTGCCGTCCACCGAGGCGAGCGGCGCTACTTGCTGCACGTGCTCGTCAGCACGCAAGAAATCTCCTCCTCAGCGGCGCCGCTCGGCCCGCGCACGCGGCCGAGGGGCTCGGGCCTTTTCGGCCCCCCCCCGCGCGCGCCGGCCGCGGCCTCCGCGCGAAGCCCGATCGCAAGCGCGGGGCGGGACAATCATCATCGTCATCAGCCTCAACAACATCAGCATCATAATCAGCATCATCATCGTTATCATCATCCCTTCACCGCGAGCCGCGTGGTGATGCGCCGTTGCATCAACCAGACCGCGGCCCCTGTGCAACGACAGCACTGTAGAATAGTGGAAGAGAGGGCTGAGAAGACGCGACTCAAACGCGCCATCCTCGCGGCACTTTTCCGCTCACCCTCGCCAGGAGCGGCCGTGCAAGGTGTGCCGCTGCGCGCTGCCGCTGCGCGCGAAGCACTGCTTCGAGTGCGGCCGCTGCGCGCGCGCCTCAGCGGCCGGGCGCCCAGCCAGCAGGGGCGGCGCAGCATGTGCACGGCGGCCCTTTCGGGTGAGCATCGGACCGAGGGGCTCTGTTTCGTGCACGTCCCCGACAGGCAGTGCACCGTGGTTCGGTTCGGACTTCCCTTGTTGTTACGAAATGTGTTTGTTACTGGGTGCGTTCTCGCGTTGGTGATTGACGTATGCGCTTGGAGTCCTTGTGCATACGATGCAGTCCTTCCGATTGGGCATCATTGTATCCCGCACAGTCCAGTCTGAATCGCTCGTTGGCAACAGGCCGTTAATATCGTCGCCCTAACGAATGATCAAGAGATAGGGAGGGAGACAGGGAGAGAGAGAGCGAGAGATAACAAATAACGATACAGGGAAGGAAAGAGAGAGATGAGATAGAGACAGAGAAGAGAGAAGAGAACGAAAGAGAGAGAGAGAGAGACGCTACCGAGAGAGAGGGGGAGAGAGAGAGAGAGGGAGGAACAGAAAGACAGAACGAGAGGGAGAGAGCAAAGGCAGAGACAGTGACAGAGAGAGGCCCTGCCGTCCAAATATAGTGTTTCTCCATGTTTCCTATTGCAGGAGACACGCTGGAGGGACGAGTCGGCAATTTGTTTGAAGACTCTTGTGGCTCAGCACAACCGCTGTTGTCGCCCGATGAGCGTTCGGCGAACTGGTGAGAACGCCACGCCCTGAGGTGCGGACGCACGACCACCACTGCCCGTGGATCGCGAACTGCGTGGGGGAGCGCAATCGGCGGGACAAGGGGAGGGAATCCATTTAGCTACGAAATATGTATTCTCTTTTCGTTCCCTGTTCTCTCGGGACTGACGACGACGACGGAGAAGAAGAAGACGACGACAGCGTTTCACGCACGCCAGAGTGTAGACTCCGCTGTTCTGCCCATGGGGTCTGCTTACCATGCTCCTGGCGGTTTGAAAAAAACACGCCAAACGCACTTCGCAGTCCTCGTCGTCCAGGAGCCGTTCTCGGCCACCGGGACCGTCAAAATGCGTCGGGCTGGACGGCCGACCCCAGGAAGGGATCGACCGTTCCAGGGGCCCGCGATTCGACAAAGCGGGCCGTCGGAGGTCTGGGCATGGAGCTTGTTTTCGGGGAAACGTAAGACTCGAGTAAGCCAGAACTCGGGTTTGCCGATATTTTTCTGACGAGCGCGTCCTGGATTTTGACGGTCCCGTTTTCGTGGGACGTCTGCAGCGGGCGGGAGCCCGCATCACAGTTCAGTTTGGCTTTCGTCATCTTTATGATGGCTCCCGTCAGGCCAACCCGAGCCCCCCGCACCCGAGTCTTACGTATCCCTGATGTTTGACCACAAGTAACCTTCACACCCGCCTGCCCGCCCGCCCCGCTGGCCCTGGCCTCCCGCCTGCGCGTTCGTCGTCGTCTGCCTGCGTCTCCATTCGTCGTCCCCTTCCGCAGGGCAGCGCAGCCTGCCCGGGACCAGCGTGTCCCCGTCCGTTCGGCCTGACGGCTGATCTAAGGCAGATCGCGCATTGTGTACAAAGTGAAGGTTAGATTCGCTTGTCCGTAGTTTTCCTCCAGAGTGGCCTTCACACTTCTTCTCTCGCCTCTTCCACACTTTGCGCTTCATGACCTGACAGCTGCTCCCCCTGCTGCTTCGAGTCAGCCGTGCGGTCGTTCGCCCTCCTCCCTCTTTACACCTCTTTCCCTGTACCTGCCCAATTCTTCGGCCGCCCTGGACCCTCCGGCCGCCAGAATCGAGCATCGAGAGTGAGCGAGTGCAGGAGCGGGAGGAGGAAGAGGTGGCCCTCGGCCAACGAACACGTCCATACAGGAGGGTCGAAACGTACTTCCACCTTCTCTACACCGTGACCCAATACACCAGTCAACAAATTGCTCATCTTCCTCCTCTCCCTCCTCGTTCTCCTCCGCCTCAGCCTCATCTGCAGCCCATGGCGCCGAGGTGTGGTCCTGGCGGGCGCCGTGAAGGTGCGCGTGCAGACGGTGGCTGCGCATCGCCCCGTGCAGGAGGCGATCGAGATGATGATCGAGGTCGTGCAGCTGCTCCTGATCGGTCTGGCTGTGGACCGCCCATGAAGATGCTCGGGGAGTCGGTCTTGCCGAAGTGAGCCAATGAGGAGGCCTTGCCGGTGGCCGTGGAGACGGGAGTGCAGAAGGTGGCCGTGGCACGCCGCGGAGATGGCCGAGAGGATGTCTTTGGCTCTGAAGTTACTCGCGACGGAGAGGAGCTGGAGGCCGCTTGGTGTTCTCACCGCTCCATGTTCGACTCGAGGGCCCGCAACCTTCTGCCCTTGGGCAATTGCTGGTGCGGGCTGCGGTGGGCGGCGGCTTCGGCGAAAAAGTGCTTCGGACATCGCTCGTTGGACAGTTTGGCGAGCGCCCCGTGCGCCCGATTTTATCGAGTACGTTGGGAAGCGCTCGTACGGCGAGGGCCTCCCGTGCCCGTCCTCTTCTTTCACTTGGCGGTCACGTTCCCAGGATGCTTGCCCCACCAGCTGCACCCAACACAAGAACTCTTACGTAGATTTTGTGGCTCAAGAGCTCTCGGGCCGGCATCCCAGCCAAGGCGATCTGTAATATTGCTTTGCTTAGCCTGTGCGCTTTTCGTGCTGACGGTGTCAGCGAAGTGCCAAAGACATTCGACGAGCGGAGCTACTCCAAAGTCGGCGCCAGCCTCCCATTCCACGGCTTGCAGGGCGCTAGTCGCACATCAGCCAAGAGTCGCATACGAAAGGTCCCATGTGACACGGGACCCTTCGCGCCATTCGTGCGTGCCACTCGACAGATAGATGCCAGTCGCGCGCGCCACCCGGCGAAAAAAAAATCGGCGCGCCACTCATGTGCCACTCACGCGCGCCGCTCACGCGCGCCACTCGGGGTCCCGTCCCGCGCAAACAGAGGCCAGCTGATGCGCGCCACTCGACGACACGAGCCCGTCGTCGAGTGGCGCGGGGGTCGGGACCTCTGGGGGTCGACGCTGCGAAAAAACAAAAATGTCGGGGCTCTGGGTCTGTTTGGGAGCCATGTGAAGCTCAGCTGCCCTAACACGCCCGTGTTGAAACGCAGCGCGTCCCGTGTCCACAACGTCAAGGTCAAACACACGGCGTGTCGGGTTCAGTACGTGTTGGCTTTAGGTTTCGGCGAATGTATCGAGCCAGACCTACATGTTCAATCTACACGTCGAGATCCGTGTCAACACGCTCCGGTCCGCGTGTCTGCGTATCAATGCAGCTGGGACGTGGAGCCGACCCCTCTCCGCTCCGTGCGCTGACCAGGGTTCGGGAGCTTCTTTGTAGCCAGCCTGGGTTCGCGATGTGACTCGGCCACGCGCAGAGGGGGGTAGGGGGAGCGGGTAAGGCTTCTTAGAAGCACCCCTGCTTCTCAGAAGGCGCGGGTCTTCCCTACAGATGTAGGGCCAGCGCCTTCTGAGAAGCAGCCTCCGTCTGAGATGCCTTCCCCCCCCATCCTACCCCCCCTTGTGCGCGCCGCCAAGTGACCCCTCCTGATCCTCGTCGGCGCTGACCCTGGTCAGCGCGTCCCCGAAACTTGGATTTGGGCGGATTCTCTCCTCCTCCTCCTCGTCATCCTCCCTCCTCCTCCTCCTCCTCCTCCCTCCTCCTCCTCCTCCTCCTCCTTCTCCTCCTCCTCCTCCTCTTCCTCCCCCTCCTCCTCCTCGTCCTCCTGGAGGGAGCGGAGATCGGAGAACGGTTCGCGCCGGCGGCTGCAGTCTTCCGGGGTGCAGGCAGGGCCTGGGTTTGCGGAGTGTGCTTCTGCGGGGGCTTGCCGGGGACGGCGAAGCGTGCTTGTTCTCCCTTGGCCGCCACCTCTTGGAGGAGATTCGTCTGGCGAGCGCTGGTCCTTGCGACGTCCCTGCGGGGATTCGGGCCTCGCTGGAGGCGGTACGGCGTCATCGCCTTGCATCCTGCGCATCCTGGGCATCCTCGTCACTTTCATCGTCCGTGCTCTTTGGCCTCCCTCCTTTCACGCCGCCACGTTCGCTCCTTCCTGCTGCCGCCGCCGCTCGCCCCCCGTCGCCGTTGCTTTCCTCCGTCTTCGCCCTCCACCTCCTCAGCTTACTCCTCACCTTCTCCCTCTGCCGCCTTCCCCTGCCTCCTGGAATAGCCTCCCTCATCTTCTCCCGCTTCTGCCTTCCAGTGCCTCCTGGAATAGCTTCCCTCCTTCTCGTTCCTTCCTCTTCGCCCTCGTTCCCTTTTCGCTCTTCCCCCCTCCCTCTCATGAGCCATTTTCCCCCTCCTCCCCCTCCCCCCCGCTCGCGCGCACTGGAACGCGCGCGAGACGAGGAGAAGGGCGCGCACTGGAACGCGAGCGGAGGAGGAGGAGGAGGAGGAGGAGGAGGAGGAGGAGGAGGAGCAGGAGTTAGAGGGAGGAGAAGGGAGGAGTAGGGAGGAGGAGGAGGAGGAGGAGGAGGAGGAGGAGGAGGAGGAGGAGCCCCGCTCTCTCCTGCCATGCAGCCCCCCTCGGGGCCCCGCCTCCCCCCGCGGCGGAAGGGCGCTGTTCTTCTGGTTCGTCGCCCTCCAGGGCGCGGAGGCCTGGTGGCTGCTCTCGCAGCAGGGGCGGTGCCTCGGCTCCGAGGCCGCCCGGTCAGGACTGCGGGCCGCCCGTCGTCTTTGCTCGCTCGCAGCGGCGAAAGCCCCGTCCTCCTCCTTCTCCTCCTCCTCCTCCTCCTCCTCCTCCTCCTCCTCCTCATCATCATCATCATCATCATCATCATCATCTCCTGCACCTCCTCCTCCTCCTCCTGTACCTCCTCCTCATCCTCCTCCTCCGCCTCCTCCTCCTCCTCCTCCGCCTCCTCCTCCTCATCATCATCATCATCATCAGATTCCTCCTCGGCCTCCTCCTACTCCTCCTCCTCCTCCTCCGCCTCCTCGTCCTCCTCCTCCTGCACTTCCTCCTCCTCCTCTTCCGCCTCCTCCTCCTCATCATCATCATATTTTCTTCCGCCTCCTCCTCCTACTCCTCCTCCGCCTCCTCCTCATCATCATCAGCATCATCATCATCATCATCATCATCAGTTTCATCCTCCTCCGCCTCCTCTTCCTCCTCCTCCTCCTCCTCCTCCTCCCTCCTCCTCAGCTGCCGAGACAGCTCGAGGCAGCCTTCTTTCTGGCAGCGCCCATGCGGTCCACGAGGGGACCCGATTGGCTATACACCCAGATCCCGCGCCAGAAGCCAGCACGGCCTGCTGGCCGATGACCCTCCGCGCGATAGGTTTCAACCGATTACATTTCTCTGGATCGCGCGCTGATGACATTGTTCTTGCTTGCCCCAATATGGACCTTCTTCTTGCAGGGACTCAGGCGACACACAGAAAGTGCGAGCAGATTCTCAGTCGGCGAGTTCACGGTCGTTTGATTCTCGAGGCAGAGGTCGCCGACGGTCCCTATACGAACAAATCTGCTGGATGCGCCGTGATATTACATCGTTCCTTGACAGAGGCCCACGTTCGCCGCATGTGGTCCAGTCCTGAGGGTGCCTACGGCCGTGCCATGGCAGTGCGGATTCAGCGCGGCCCGTTGGACGTGACTGCAATTATCATATACTTTCCGACTCAACCGAAGCGCACGGCCGAGCTCCCTCATTATGTAGCGACAGTTAAGACATTCATAGAATGGTACGATCACGTGCTCTCCGAGCTCCCCTACCGCAGCACCCCGATCCTGTACACAGATCTCAACGACGGATTTGGACTCAGCAGAGGCTCAGGTAAATTTTCGGCGGTGGAAACATTAGCTGTCGGAGCTGGAAGAAGTAAAGAACATCGACGGAACGGAGCAGGAGAACGCCTTCGCCACGTGAATGAACAACACCATATGCTGGCTATGAACACGAGAAGTCCCGATTGTCAATCTACTTTCTTCGGGAACGCTGGCGGCCAGAGTTGCATTGATTCTATATATGCGCCACTGGGTATGACTGACTTCGTGACCGCATGCCACCCACTTTATCGACTGGGAGCTTCCCTCCAAGCTTACAGAGGCCGACCGCCACGGGACCATATCCCCATTTACATGGAAATGAGCTGCATCAAAGATTTTACCCCGCGAATCCAGACGGAGAGACTCCGCTGGAACATGGATGCCATGGTGGAAGCTGTACGCAAAGGATCTCTTCGACCCGATTTTTTGAGAGCTGTCACCTCCCATCTGCAGGAGGAAGAGGACAAGTGGCGTGAATTGCTCACGCGGGGACGCCCCGACGAGACTTTCAATTTCATCCAGGACACTCTCATCACCGCGGGGCAACAGTTCTTCGAGGCTAAGATCACGAATGACACCGCCTACCAGCAGGCCAAAGAAGAACGAGAACAGCCACTCAAGCGACGGGCCGAACTCCGACTTCAGCGTACAGAGGCAGATGAGGGGACCCTCGTGCAGCGCGGGGCCCAGTCTAGGGAGATTTCGCAACAGCTCAAGCTCCAGCGACAGCGCATCCAACGGCAACGACGTGAAGCTCTACTCACAGAGATAGACGAGGCTTGGGAACGTCGGCAACTAGCGGAAGGCATGCGACTCACTCGACTTGCTGGAGCCTGTCGCTACGGGGCCAAGAAACGGGACGGACGACTGATACGTGGCAGTGCTTTTACGGAGGAAGAGCTCACGAACTACTGGGGGGCGCCAGGCTGCGAAGGAGGAATGAGTGCGACCCCAACTACAGTTCAGAGCCTTCTCGACGAATTTCATGATCTTGGCCCCAGTTATATCGACGTTGAACATTGTGCTCTTGCCCAGGATGACCCCCGGCGAGTAAAAAATATTTCAGACGGACAAAAAAGCGCCGAGCTGTACCACCTGGGACCCCTTCCCACGGAACTTCGGCCGATGTGTCTGCAGCCCCTGTTGAATATGAAGGCCGAGGGTTATGGACTGGGGTGGGATCACAGTGCACCAGATATGCAGCAGTTTCAATAATTGTTGGAGGCGGCCTTCCGCCAGATACGCTCTACGAGCAGAACTCCGATCCAGCGGCACCACAGCCGTGGAGTCCAATTGCGGAAGAGCGCCGCCCCTGGACCGAAGAGAAGACGCACTGTCCATGTGATGGACCTTATGGGCAAGGCCTACCACCACGACATGCTGCACATTCCGCATAAAGTTGTTGAGCGTGGCTTCGCAAAAAGGAAAGCGCAGAGAAGATACAATATTCGTCAATCAGATCACAGGCTGGAGGCTTCGACAGGCAGGACATTGCTTCGCCATCAGCTACAAAGACCTCAGCAACGCGTTCGCCTGCGGCAAATGGGACGAGCTCGAGCAGACTGTCCACATGTACGCGAAGCCCGAGAACATCGACCTGTGCATCCAGCGATTTAAGATGAGCACGATCACCCTGGAGACCATGGAGGGCCATGTGACTCTGAAGACAGGCGAAGGCGGCTTGATGGGGGATCCATATGCTGTTCAGCTATCTAGGGGCACTTTTTCACGACCACTGACTAAATGGAAGTATTCGATCCAGCATTCGGATGCCCTCGCCAACCAGTTGACGGCCAGGTGGCGAGATTAGAGGGCACACGTGGGGGGCTGCACTTATGCAGATGACGCATTTCAAATACACGTGGTTCCTGTACCCATCCCGATCAAGGATTTCTTTGACACCATGAAGGACATCGACGATGCTTTCGATCGTGATCTGACGGAGGTGGGATACGCTAGAAACCCGACAAAGCAGGAACTTCAGATGTACTTCCACGGACCAGGGGCCGCTACTTGTAAGAGATGGGCTCGTTCACATCCAGAATTTATTCCAGGACTCTTCAAAGATGCCGCGCGATACTTTGGACCGATGCTTCATGTCAACCAGTCCGTCGAGACGGAGGTGAACCGCAGATGCGCCGCTTGCGCAGATTCTTTTTTATTCACTCGGCCGTGCATGGTCTCTTTCACTGCCGCATCGTTGGCTTCGCACTCTTTTCCTGAGCTACGTCCAGAACACAGCCTTCTCGGGCATCGAGCCGCTCCTCCTCACCCTCAGCCACTACAAAAAGTTAGATGGACAAATCGCTAGATTCGGACGACGGGCCATGCAAGGCCGAGCGACACGGACGGACGGAGACCACATGAAGACGATGACGACGAAACAGATTTTAGCCTATTGGAGGATCCCCGAGTCGGACGTAGAAATGACGATTCGCAGGTTGAACTGGCACGTGGGCTGGGCCAGGGGCCCCCAGAAGCACTCCCAGGAGCTCCGCCTGCTGTTCGGATCTCTGGAGGTTATGGGATGTAGGGGTGGGCATCTTCATGGGGGCGCTCCTGGAACAGAGGCTTCTCCGTGGCTCCGCAGGTCCCAGAAGGACTTCCTGAGGGCCGCTGAGGACTTGGATTCGGGCGGGGGCGTCTGCGAGTACGTGAGTCAGAACCCTGGGAGGCTGCTAGACCAGGACGTAGTGACGGAGCTTCTCCAGCTTGATTTCACCGAGATTCGTGCCCGTTGTCTCTCGCATGCAGCCCCACCGCCTCACATGCAGACGGTGCGCGCTGACCCAGCCGAGCCTCCACCAGACGAGGCGCCATCGGAGTGGCAGTGCGATTGGCAGCTTGACACTGAGACAGGCAAAAAGATACGCGGGTGCGAGTTTCGGACCAGGCGGGATTTGCTCAACCATATGAGGAGGATCCACTTTGTCAGAAACCTCAGCTCGGTGTTGACCCCCCACGAACTCCTGCATCGTGTGTCGTCGAGTCTTTGGGTGTCAAGGTAATGCTTATAAACACCTTCAGCGAGCAATACTCCAGGGTCACTGCCCCGCTCGAGGCACGACGACGAATATCCTTGAGAAACCCGTGAAGCCCCTCAAGTGCGTCCTGTGTGAGTATCATGCCGCCGACATTGGGGGTCTCTGTTGTCATCTCCGTAGCCATCTTCCTCGAGAAGTGCGGCCATCTCTTCGCCCCGATATCGACAGAGATGGAGCTGGAGAGGCCAGATTGGCTTCAGGTGCCCCAACGTGCTGGGGGAGAAGTCAGCCGAGCTCGACTGGCCAAGGACGTCAGAGGCAAACTCCAAGCAGGCAAAGGAGACCACGAGATCCTCGGGCAGCTCGTACTCATCATCGCGCGTTTAGTGCTGACGGACAGCAGGGCCATCGCGGAGCTGACGGCCACCGTCTACACCACCTATGCGCTCGACTTCGTAGAGGGCGGAGTCACGGACCAGATGGAGGACGCGGGCAAGCGCTACCAGGAGATATCGAACGACCTAGCCGAGAAAAAGAAGAAGGGCGAGGTGGTGGACTTCAAAAGTCGTGGGCCTCCTCACCTCCACATATTCATGATCGCCCTAACCTATCCAGCCAAGCAGGAGACGGAATGGGGCAAGGCGCTTCGCGAGATCTACGAGAAATATCTCAAGGGTCTCAAGATGTTGGAGGTGGGAGAGGTCGTCCTCCACTGGCAGTGGAAGCGGAACAGGAAGGAGGGATCAGGTCAGGAGAGCAAAGGACGCCTCATCATCGCAATCGATTCGGATCACGAAGCCGGCCGACAGCTCATCCCCATCGTGCGCACAGCCATTCTGAGCATCGGGGGAGAGCGCCTGATCGGTCCCGCGCCCAGAGGCCCGCTCGAGAGAGACGCGAGC